GAGACAGAGAAGGTTCATCAGTTTTTAATGGGTTTGAATGATAACTTTTCCACTATACGCTCACAAATCCTGAATTTGGAACCATTACCTTCTTTAAACAAGGTATATGCAATGGCAACCAAGGAGGAAAGGCAACAAGCTATAACAGCTTCAAGAGGACCAGTAATTGAAGCCACTGCCTTAGCAACAAGATCAAGTATGAGTGGAAGATTAAACAATCCCGGAAAGGCACGGTGTGATCATTGCAAGAAAGTTGGCCATACCAAAGACCGATGCTATAAGATTATTGGGTATCCCTCAAGTTGGAAGACTGGAGGCACAAAGACAAAAGGCAAGGGTGATGGAAAGAGAAGTCAGAGTCATGGAAGGGAATTAATCTTTGCAGCTAAAGCAAACCATGATCCAATAAGAACATATGGCAATCCAAATCAGTCTCCTCTTACCAGACTGACCAAGGAACAGTATGATCAATTACTCACACTTCTCGGTGGTAATTCCATCACTCATCATTCGACAAACATGGCTGGTAAGATGCAAATCTCATCTTTTCCTTGGATTATTGATAGTGGCGCCTCAGACCACATGACCCCAAATCTGTCCAGGCTTACTAAAACCATACCTTATGTTGCACCAGTCCACATACCTGATGGAACCTCCTTACATGTCTCTCATATAGGAAAAGCAAAACTAACCCAAGACCTCACGTTAGATAATGTTTTATTTGTTCCCCAATTTAACTGTAATCACCTTTCGGTTAGCAAAATAACTAAACAACTCAATTGTGCAGTTATATTTTTCCCTAACTTTTATGTATTTCAGGACCTAACCTCGAGGAAGTTGATTGGAATGGGTAAACTGCATGAGGGAATCTACTATTGTGAATTTGGGCATGTTGCAGCTACTAGTCGAGTAAAGCCGAAGGAGACTGCGTCGTTTGAATTGTGGCATAAGAGGCTTGGTCACATTTCCTTTGATAGATTATCTAAAATACCTTCATTATGTTCTTGTCTTTCTGATTTCAAACATGTTTGTGACATTTGCCATAGAGCAAAACAAACAAGATTGCCTTTTCCCATTAGCAATAATTTTTGTTCACGTTGTTTTGCCTTAATACATTGTGACATTTGGGGTAGGTATGCTACAGCTTCTAATACAGGTGCACATTATTTTTTAACTATTGTTGATGATTACTCTCGTTGCACTTGGGTCTATCTTTTAAAAAATAAATCAGAAGCTGCTTTATATCTAATAAATTTTTGCAACATGGTTGAGAATCAATTTGAAACTCATGTGCAACAGATTCGCAATGATAATGGAAAAGAATTTACAGATGGTCTTGTCAAAGAGTTTTGTCAAAAACAAGGTATTTTGCAACAAACATCTTGTGTCAACACACCTCAACAAAATGGTGTGGTTGAGCACAAGTATCGTCACCTGCTTGAAGTTGCACGAGCCTTGCGTTTTCAAGCTAATCTTCCTTTAAAATTTTGGGGTGAGTGCATTCTTACTGCTACTTACATAATTAATTTAACTCTCACTCCTATGTTGTCAGGCCTCACTCCGTTTGAGAGACTTTTCAAGAAATCACCATGTTATGACCATTTAAAGGTTTTTGGATGTCTTTGTTATGCTCACCATCACTCACAAAATTGAACCAAATTTGATTCAAGAGCTTCGAAATGTGTTTTTATTGGATATCCTTTTGGGAAAAAAGGGTATAGATTATATGATCTCGAAACAAACCAAATTTTTGTTTCAAGGGATGTGATTTTCTATGAAAGAATTTTTCCTTTTGAAGTATCCAAGGATTTCACACAAGCTGTAGCACCATATCCAAATGTTGCAGGATTAATCTTTGAAGAACCTACACAACCCATTGAAACCTTGCCATCTACTGAACCTGTGTCACTTACTCAAGATGAGCAAACCATCGAAACCAACCAGTCCATTGAAACCTCTGTGCAAAATATGGGACCTGAAGTACTGCAGTCCACTAGGCCACAACGCCAACGACATGCTCCTAAACGCTTTCAAGACTACGTCTGTGACATGCCGCCATCTATCGACTCTCAATAGATCCCATTTCACTCAGCTAACTCAGGTATTCTCTACCCTCTTTCAAACCATTTATCTTATGATTCATTCTCTCGTAACCACTCAACCTATCTTGCGGCCATCACTTCTATAGATGAGCCTAAGTCATTTTACCAAGCCATTAAGAATGAAAAGTGGAGATAAGCGATGAGGAAATAAATTACTGCCCTTGAGTAGAATGGAACTTGGACTCTTGAGCAATTGCCTGCAGGGAAGAAGGTCATCGACTCTAAGTGGCTCTACAAAATTAAATACAAGCCAAATGGGACAGTGGAGCGGTATAAGGCAAGACTGGTGGCTAAGGGATTTACCCAAGTATAGGGTCTTGATTATCATAAGACTTATGCTCTAGTTGCAAAACTGGTCACTGTAAGGCTTCTCCTTGCAATAGCAGCTATTAGGCATTGGGAACTCCATCAATTGGATGTGAATAATGCATTTTTACAAGGTGACTTACATGAGGAAGTTTATATGAAGATTCCCCAAGGATTTACCTGTAAGGATGGCAGTGTGTTTTGTCGACTAAGGAAGTCTTTATATGGCCTTAAACAAGCCTCTCGGAATTGGTTTGAGAAGTTCACACAGTCCCTTAAGGCTGCTGGCTTTGTGCAATCTCAAGTTGACTATTCACTGTTTACCTCAAGCAAAGGTCAGAGTTTTGTTGCTGTTTTAATATATGTTGATGACATTATCATTACAGGGAATGATACTGCAAGAATTCAGGCCTTGAAACAATATCTGCACACAAGGTTTTCAATTAAGGACCTTGGACCTCTGAAATATTTTCTTGGAATTGAGGTGATTCGTACAAGAGTGGGAATTGTACTAAGCCAGCGTAAATATGCTCTCGACATTCTTCATGAAACCGGTGTTATTGGAGCTCGCCTAAGCCACTCTCCAATGGAGCAAAATCATCACTTGTCCTCTGCCATTGGACCGCTTCACGCGGATCCAGCCCAGTATAGGAGGTTAATTGGGCGACTACTCTACTTGACAATCACAAGACCAGATATATGTTACTCGGTTGGATTGCTCACATAGTTTATGCAAAACCCGCGACAAGAGCACCATGAAGCTGCTATGAGAGTGCTGTGCTACATTAAAGGTTTACCGGGACAAGGAATTTTGCTACCTTCAGCAGGTCAGTTAACTCTCATAGCTTATTGTGATGCGGATTGGGCAGGATGTCCGATCACTCGGTGGTCCACAACAGCGTACTTTATTTCTTTGGGCAACTCTCCTATTTCATGGAAATCAAAGAAGCAAGCTATAGTCTC